AGCCGGGTTGGGGGGGTCGGGGGATGTGTTTGTTCTTCTTCTTGGGGAGCTTCTGCTTGGCCATGGCCAAGGAGTAGTACATGCCGAAGTTGTTGACGATGACGGGGACGGGCATGGCGATGGTGAGGACCCCCGCCAGGGCGCAGAGAGCCCCCACCAACATCCCCGACCAGGTCATGGGGTACATGTCCCCGTACCCCAAAGTGGTCATGGTCACCACCGCCCACCAGAAACCGATGGGGATGTTCTTGAAGTAGGTGTGACGGCTCCCCGTCACGTCGTCGGGGTCGGCCCCGATCCGTTCGGCGTAGTAGATCATGGTGGCGAAGATGAGAACACCCAAAGCCAAGAAGATGACCAAGAGGAGGAACTCGTTGGTGCTGGCCCTCAAGGTGTGCCCCAAAACCCTCAACCCCACGAAATGCCGCGTCAACTTGAAGATACGGAGGATGCGGACGAAGCGGACCACCCGCAGGAACCCCAAAACGTCCTTGGCCGCTTTGGAGGAGAGACCCCTCAAGCCCACCTCCAGGTAGAAGGGCAAGATGGCCACGAAGTCGATGATGTTCAAGCTGCTCTTGACGAAATCCCGTTTGTCCGGGCAAAAACTCACCCTCATGAGGAACTCGAAGGTGAACCACACCACGCACGTGCCCTCCACGTAGGTGAGGAAGGGCTCCGTCTCCACCTCCACCGCCACCTGCGTCCCCGTCGTCCCGTTGCCCGTGGCCACCGTCTCCGTCTTGTTGATCACCCGGTTGAAGGCCTCGTGGGTCTCCAGGCAGAAGGTGGTGATGGAGATGAGGATGAAGAAGAGGGAGGCGAAGGCCACGTACTGGGGAGGAGGAAGAAAAAAAGGGAGAGGGGGGTGGTGAAGTGGGGTGGACCCAGGTGTGGGGGCTCCACAGATCCAGAACCCAAAGATCTGGACCCCCACAGAATCAAATGGAACCCCATAGAGATGGTGGGACCAAGGTATGGGGGCTCCTGACCCCCCCAAAGACCTGGAACCCCATAGAATCGTGGGGAGACCCAGGTGTGGGGTCTCCAGAACCCCCTTCCAAGAACTGGAACCCCATAGAGATGGTGGGACCAAGGTGTGGGGGCTCCAGACCCCCCTGAAGATCTGGAACCCCATAGAATCATGGTGGGACCCAGGTATGGGGTCTTCAGACCACCCTTCCAAGAACTGGAACCCCATAGAGATGGTGGGACCAAGGTGTGGGGTCTTCAGACCCCCCCCAAAGACCTGGAACCCCTATAGAATCATGGGGAGACCCAGGTGTGGGGTCTCCAGATCCCCCCAAAGATCTGGACCCCAGGTTTGGGGGGGCCCTCAGCCTCCCCCCTGGTCACTGAAGGCCTGGTGGGTCTCCAGGCAGAAGGTGGTGATGGAGATGAGGATGAAGAAGAGGGAGGCGAAGGCCACGTACTGGGAAGGAAGAAAGGAGGACGGGGGGGACAGTTAGGGGGGACCCGAACATCTGAGTTCCTGACCCTCAAAAGATGGTGGGACCCAAGTGTGAGGTGTCCAGAGCCCCCCAAAGATCTGGAACCCCATAGAATCATGGGGAGACCCAGGTGTGAGGTCTCCAGACCACCCTTCCAAGAACTGGAACCCCATAGAGATGGTGGGACCAAGGTGTGGGGGCTCCTGACCCCCCTGAAGATCTGGACCCCCCCAGAATCAATTAGAACCCCATAAAGATGGTGGGACCAAGGTGTGGGGTCTCCAGACCCCTCTGAAGATCTGGACCCCCCCAGAATCAACTGGAACCCCATAGAGATGGTGGGACCAAGGTGTGGGGTCTCCAGACCCCCCCAAAGACCTGGAACCCCATAGAATCGTGGGGAGACCCAGGTGTGGGGTCTCCAGACCCCCCCGAAGATCTGGACCCCAGGTTTTGGGGGGGCCCCCAACCTCCCCCTGGGTCACTGAAGGCCTCGTGGGTCTCCAGGCAGAAGGTGGTGATGGAGATGAGGATGAAGAAGAGGGAGGCGAAGGCCACGCACTGGGGGAGGAGAAGAAAAAGGTGGGGAGGGGGTGGGTGGTAAAATGTGGGGTCTCCAGACCCCCCCCTGAAGATCTG